TCATTGTTGCTAAGTGCCTTTGAGTCAGTTCCAACTCAGCTATCCTGTATATGGTTTTCAAGCCTTTAAATCTTCAAGGGAGCAGAAAGCCTCATCTTTCTCCCCGAGAAGCTGGTGGCCTCGAACTATGAACCTCATATAGGATTTCTGAGGCAGGGGTTTGAACTGCTAACCTTGTGGTTCACAGTCCAGTGCTTATGATATGGAGCTATGGAGCTCCTATATATATATAGCTCCTATATAGTTGGGTCCAACCCATAGAGATCATGTATGGGGTTTCTGAGGATCAGCTGGGGAGCTTGAACCACCAACCTTTCAGATCAAACCAATTTTGAAGTCTAGGTCATCACTCCAGGTCTCTCTCTGGCATACATACACACACATACATACACATAGACTGGTGCTTTAGGATAAGCACTGGATTGCTGACCACAAGGTCAGCAGTTCAAATCCACCTCCTCAGAAACCTTACAGAGGAAATAGTTATATATATATTGTTGTTATGTGTCTATATATATATATATATAGTTATATATATATATATAGTTATGTATGTATGTTGTTATTGTTAAGTGCCTTCAAGTTGGTTCTGGCCATATATATTTATATATGAGGGTGAGTTAAAAATTATCCACACTCTAAGTGTCGAATTTATTTTAATCAACTTTTAGAAAAGACAAATATATCATTTTTCAAAATAATCTCCTTCAGTTCAGTTTGTCAATCTGCCAACAAATTTTCATATTCCTTTATTTAAGAAAAAAATTTTTTAATGCTGAGCTGTGAGCCACAAAGGGCATCATTGTCTTTACTTCTTCATCTGAGGTGAAGCATCAGAGATGAATATTTGTCCTTGAAGGGTTGCTTTCAGGGGACCAAATGGGTGGAAATCTGATGAAGCAAGATAAGGATTATAGGAGGATGCTTTAACACCTGAAAACAATTTTTTGCAGATTGTCATCACGTAGACAGATGTGTGTGGATGTGCATTTTCATGTAAGATCACAACACCCTTGGATAGCAGTCTTCTGCATTTACTCAGAAATGTAGACTTCAGCTCTTCAGTGAGCATCTCACTGTAAGGAGCACTGTTGATTGTTGAACATTTGTCTGGCCCTTGAGAATCCCAGAAAACTAAGCATTAATTTTCCAGTTTATGGTTGACTTTTGAACTTTGTGTTTGGTTGGCGATTGAGGATGTTTCGATTCTATACTCTACAGTTTACTCTCAGGCTTGTATATTGATGAATCTATGTCTCATCACCAGTAATGATTTTTCTAAAGAAACTCTTAACCTTCCTTTGAGTATCGGTCTAAAAATTGTTTGCAGAGTCTAAACGCTTCTGTTTATGCTTTTCCATGAATTGCTACAGTACCCATATAGCATAAACTTTTCCGAACTCCAGTCTCTTGTGGATTATTTCATAGGCAGAGCCGTGGCTGATTTGCACATGATTTGTCACATAATACACTGTCACTCGTAGATTCCATAGAATCATTTAAAGTGCCTGCTCAATGTTATCATCAGTGGTGGACGTGGATGGGCATTTTAATATAACTGGAGTGCAGATAATTTTTGACTCACTTTCGTATATGTAGTCATGTATGTTTAATGTTATATATGGAATCCTGGTATGGCACTGTAGGATAAGAACTGGACTGAAAGATTGGATTGAGCTGTGAGGTTGGTGGTTCAAACTCACCAGCCACTTTATGGGGTTGCTATGAATCAGAACCAAGTCAACAGGACTTAACAACAGCAACATATAGGACTCAGCAACAAATCAGTTGGGTGAAATATTGTTCTAAATGGCTTTTCATGGAAATGAAAATGGTTTTCATGGAAATGCTTATTTCTAGTTGCTTGTACTAACAAAGCTACCAGTCCTTCCAGGTTCCCGAAATTTCTCCTTATAGAGTGGTGTTTCAAAATCATGCTTTAGAATGAGACAGAGATAATAAACGAATTATACCATTCTGGATCTGCTTTGTTTTAATGCTATAAATGACAGGGTTCATGAAAGGTGGGAAAAGGAAGTAGACATAGCTCATTGTGATATGGACCACATGAGGGGCATGCTTTCCAAATCTATGAATAAAAGTCAGACCAACTACAGTTATATAGAAAACCAGAATGCAGCAGATGTGGGAGACACAAGTGTTGAGGGCCTTGGCTCTCTCTTCTCCAGAAGCAATGCCCATGACAGTCTTTAGTATCAAAATGTAGGAGAAAAATATGATGAGAAAATCTAACAAGACCATTGCAAACACAACCACTACTGGATAGAGACGATTGAAAGTGATGTCAGCACAAGCTAGCTTGATAATATCTTGGTGTAAACAGAAAGCATGGGAAAGTACATGGGATTGACAATAAGGAAACCAATGCAGTCTAAAAATTATTGGCATAATTGACAGACTAGCCCTTGTCAATACCCCCATCCCAATCTTCATTACCTGGGTGTTGGTAAGGATAGAGCTGTATCTCAAAGGATTGCAGATGGCAATGAAACGGTCATAGGCCATGGCAAGCAAGACACCTGACTCCACAATAGAAAGAGTATGGATAAAGTAAGCCTGAGAGAAGCAGGCTCCATGGCCAATCTCTCTGTGATTTAACCACAAGACACCCAGTACTGTTGGCATCGTGGTCAGAGTCACCCCGAGATCTGTAGCTGCTAGCATAGCTAAAAAATAGTACATAGGCTCGTGAAGACTATTGTCATTCCTGATGAGAAAGAGAAGGGTGCCATTACCAAGAAGTATGGAGGTATAGATGAGCAACAATGGGATGGAAATCCAATGATGTGCCTTCTCCATGCCTGGGAAGCCAGTTAGAAGGAAGGGGGAAGCAGTGATGTTGAGCCACATTATGGACCTTATCAGTAGTAAATTATTTCCTCCAGGTAAAATAATAAAATCCTCTAGATCACTAGATGTCTTTCTTGAGGGTACTACCTGTCCATAAGTTGTCCATCTGTCTTGACATCAAGCAACAGCAAGGATGGTAATGTCATGATTCCTTGGAAAGTCCTAGATGTGGGAAAATAAGCTACATGAGCAACTACTTATAGTAGTGTAAATTTATTCGAAAGTATGTTAGGACTATGTAAGTCAGTATGTGCAGGGTAGACCTGGTTGACATTCTTTTAGCTCTTATAACTCAAAAAAATGAAGAAAAAGTGAAAGAAGACATCACTAAACTTGACTGTTGGTAGATTACACTGGAATTTACAGATATTTCTTTCGTTGTGCTCTTTATCTTGACAGATGATACTGAGAGTAGACATAAAGTTTTCTCACAATATGTGAGATCTAGAAAAGCAATAGGATATTGTTTCTAAGCAGTATTGGAAGTGCACAATTAAAAATCCTAAGACAAAGCAACTCTATGTGGGTGCTTCAAAAATTTTGTGGAAAAATGGAATCCAACAATAATGAAATTTTGAAGTACTCTTGTATAAGTAAGTGAAATAAAGGAAAATAGACTTGGTTGAACTGACGGAATTACTGATACTGATAAAATTACTGATAAAATATTAAGTGCTGTTGAGTCCGTTTTGACTTAGTGACACTACATAGGGTTTCTGAGGAATGGCTGGAAAGTTTGGACTACCAGTCTTTCAGTTAGCAGTCCAGTGCTTATCCTAAATTGCCACACCAGGCCTGGATGGAAAATTTAATTAATGAGGCCCTATGCGCCAGACTGCAAAGCCATTTGAACTGTAAGGTCGGTGGTTCAAGCTCACCAGCTGCTCCTCGGAAACCCTATACAGCGTCGCAATGGGTCAGAACTGACTCTACGGCACTCAACAACAACAACCTAGATTTTAGGTCTTGGTGTGGCGCTGTGGGTTAATGTGTCAGACTGTAAAGCTGCTTGAACTGCAAGATCGGCGGTTCAAGCTTACCAGCTGCTCCTCGAAAACCCTATATAGGGTTGCTGTGGGTCGGAATTGATTCAATGGCACTTAAAAACAACAATAGATTTTAGGTAGTACTATAAAAATGACAAAGAATTACCTATGTATGTTTCCAAAATACAGATCCTCTAAATTAATGTCACATAATATCATCGCTGTGGGTTAGTGTGCCAGACTGCAAAGCCGTTTGAACTGCAAGGTCGGCAATTCAAGCTCACCAGCTGCTCCTAGGAAACGCTACACAGGGTCGCTATCGGTCAGAACCAACTCGACGGCAGGCACTTAACAACAACAACATCTTGATTGAGAGAAAGATGAAGCTTTCTGTTCCTACAAAGATTTGCAGCCTCGGAAACCCTGTACAGGGTCACTATGAGTCAAAATCTACTCAATGGTGCTTATCAATAACAACAATATCACGATTCTCTAGGTAGTTTGTTCAATGCTTCAGAAACAATTTTAACATCTCATAGTACAGATAGAACATAGAGAAAAAAAAAAGGATTTTATGATAAAAATTTGAGGGCACTATTAGTGAGAATAGATAAATAATTACTTGCATATGGTCTAATTGAAGATGTGAAGATAGAAATTAGTTCCATATCTAAGGTGGCACATTAAAAAAAAAAAATTGTAGAGTTCTTTTTATCCATTGTGAGCAAGGAAGACTTCAGGTACAGTTGACTTTTTGTAGTGGTGAGGAGCACTAATGTGCTTGCTACCTCGCTCTTCTATTTTCATCAGAAAACTGAGTATTTGTATTAAGTTTACTCAGAGCTGTCTTTGTGGTACTTGAGATTATTTATGTGTTCTGGACCGGGTTACAAATATAAGATTGTTGTCCCGTGTCCTGCAGCCTCTAAAACACTACCAGGGACTCCATTTTAGGATATATTTGTTGTGGTGCCATAGGATAAGCACTTGACCTGAAGGTCAGTTTGAACTGCAAGACTGGCAGTTCAAACTCACCAGCCACTCCATGGAAACCCTATACAGGGTCACTATGTATTGGAATCGACTTGACAGAATTTAACAACAGCAGCAACAAAATGAGAACTAAATTTCCAAATTTCAAATCCTACTCCCTGAACTCAGGTTCCATGCAGACACATAGAAATTCCACTTAGACTTTTCCCTTTCACATCTTCTCACATTTTCTGTTGGGCTGTCTTTGACTTTTTCTGATACTTCCTGTTTTGTCTCGAACTCTGAACCCTTTGGTCCATGTTTTGTTTTGTTTTTCCAAACCATATGTAAACTTTTGTTCCTAACTCTCCACCTCCTCTCCACATTGTTCTCCAGACTCTTCAAACCTTACATGTCTAATCAACACTGCTGTTTATTCTAGCTACATAGTGTCCCATTTATCTATTCTCAATACTTAGTTATTGGCACAATGCCTAGTGAATAAACTGTATGTGTGTGTGTGTTTTTAAAATAAATACTGATTGATTGGCTTATATATATTAAATGGTTTATGATTATCTTACATCCCAGGTTATCTGAGCAAGTTCTCAAATCATCAAAACAACTTAGACTGATACATCTTCCACAGTAACTGATTAACTTTTAATAAATAGCTGTACAGCTCTAGTATCTAGAAAGACTTAAAGGGTGCATATTATTGAAAGATATGCAATGAAAAATCCTATCCTGTTTTAAAATCAGACATTATTGAATGCCCCTGAATTACATGTTACATATTGTACACTTTCTAAGTGCTAGAGATAATGCCCAAACAAACTCGATGCTATCCAGTGGATTCTAACTCACAGTGATAATATAAGACAGAGTAGAACTGCTCCATAGGTTTTGTTGCTGTTGTTGGTATGTGCTGTGGAGTCGGTTGCGACTCATACTGACCCTGCATAGGGTTTCCAAGGCTTTATATCTTTCTCCCATGAAACAGTTGGTAGTTTCGAATTGTTGACCTTGAGTTTAGCATCCCGATTCATAACCACTATGCTACTAGAGCTCCTTATAGTACTACAGTAGGACTCCAGATATTAAGAGACAAGAAGTAGATGTAATTTATCCCTGAGTTCAGCCCCATCTTCATTTAGCTTACATAACTCTGCTTTATTTCATGCTTCTAAATATTTATCCTTGGCCTTATTTTAAACATCTGGGAGGTAATTTTTTAAAGATATCAGCTTTTAGAGATGTCAGGGAGTCTTCAGAATTCATTACTATTTCCCCTCACCTCTTGGCTGATACTACTATTTTTTTCCCTGCTGAGAAACAAGATCTTTACTCTTTTCCCTGTTGTATTCTGCCCTGAAGTTGTCTATAATGTGAGCTTTGAAGATTCATTAGATACCCTCACTAACCTGATCTTTTGTTCTCTCCAACTCTTCAGTTCCATAGTCATGAGTATTGAACCCATGACATAACACCATCTCTTCAGAGCCTATACAAAAGGTTGATTGGTATGGGCATTTATGTTAGAAGCTCCTCCTCAAGGTCCATTTCTGGTTGAAGTCACTCAGAAAATCCTTTATAACTCCTCCCTTTCCCCCACCTTCCATCGGTGACTCCCTTATTCTTAGAGAGCTCTAATTTTAAACAGCCATCCCTAAGGTCTCTTTCTATGTCTCAGCTTGGACTTCAGCCTTGTTGCTGTGAGGATGATTAGTTATTTATATCTATCAGAATAAAAAAAAGGAAAAGTAGAGCAGATAAAGACCTGAATTGAAATAAAATGGTTGGAATAGTATTTTTCTAAGCTATCTGTGAGAACTCACAGCCCTGTCCCTAAAATAAGACACTGGGGTACAGCAGGCATCACTTTAAAAAAAAAAAATTATCGTGGATTGAATGAAAGTTTACAGGGCAGATCATTAGTTTTACATTCAACAAATCATACACTTTGTTTCATTACAATGATTATAATCTCTTCCGTGTACCACCAGTTAACAGTTTTTCTCTGTATTCATTTTAACTTAAAAAAAAAAAAAAAAAAACACTCAGGCATATATAATAATTTAAAACACCAAAGGGCATATTCTGCAAGTCAGCCTCCTGGCCACCGGCTCTTAGTCCGTATCTACCCAGGAATCTAGAGTCCCCACCTCTGCTTCCATCACTGGTGCTGCTGCTTATCTAGATAAGGCCTTGCATTCTGCTTGTGCTCTTCTTCCTTGATGGTCCTAGGGTCCTCTGTTTCTGGACTGTAAGATTAACTACTCCCTCATTTTTGTTACAAAACTTCTATATTTACAATTGTGACAGTAGCAATTAGGCGTGGTAACATACTTGATTCCTTGAGTTTCAAAGAGACTAAGCTTATAATTTAAGGCTACTATAAAACGCAACAACCACTCATCTGTCAGCTTGTCATATGTGGTGGCTTGCATGTCACCATGATGTGGGAAATTATGTCACTGGTATTTTAAATATCAGCAGGGTCATTCACCGTGGACAGGTTTCAGTGGAATGTCCAGACCGAGACAGACTAGGAGTAGAGAATTAACTGAATGTTGAACCATTCTAAACCTTATGAATAGCAACAGAACCTTGTCAGATATATAGCAGAAACATGAAAACATTATTGATAGCACCAGAATATTTTCAGATAATATAGTTCACTTTATTTATTTGATCTGTATGCTAAGCAAATAATGAGAAAAGCTTGATTATATGAAGAAGAACATTGCATCAAGATTGGAGGAAGACTCATAAACAACCTGTATGCATTATATGCAGATGATATGACATTGTTTGCTGGAAGGAAAGAGTACTTAAAATGCTTACTGATGAGGATCAAAGAATGTAGTCAACAGTATGGCTAGCACCTCAATGTAAAGAAAACAAAAATCCTCACTACTGGACCAAAAAATGCCATCTCTATAAATGGAGAAAATATTGAAGTTGCCAAACCCTTCATTTTGCTTGGAATCAACCATCAACACTCATGGAAGCAGCAGTCAAGAAATCAAACGATGTATT